GTTTTGAATGGGGAAAATGCAATGCTCAGTATGGCCACTCTTTCGAACGAAGCCCCGCCTTTTGAGTAAAAGAGCCAATCCCTAATCAGTAAAGTCAGCGCATCACTGCAGCTGTGGTTAGAAGTCCCGGTTGCTATAAAAACAGTAAGCGTTATTAAACGTGCGCTTAGGACTGTGCATACGCACTGGCTGGTCTAGCCTAAAAAATATGCTTTTTTTAACACTATTTGAGTAAAATAAACAACATTTATGATACAGTTGTTGTCAGATTTCATTGGTGATTTCAAATATGAAATTTAATTGTAAGTTTGGCGACCAGTTTTAGACAATTTGATGTTTCCCCATTCAAAGAGATGGGAGCTGCACTTGCATGCCCGAGAGGCGTTTCAAAGATGGCCGCCGAGTGACATGACTTGGCTTAAAGGGACTTTGCTACAATCCTCTACTGTCCTGCAGACTTCAGTTCCAACACTGCTCCAACACACCCGCCTGTAATTATCAAGTAACCCTGAACAACCCTGATTATTTAGTTCAAGTGTGTTTATTTGGGGTTGGAGCTGAAATTCACAGGACGGCAGCTCTCCAGAAGCAGGGTTGGAGACTTTTGTGCTAGTATTCAGAAAATGTTTTGTATTATCATTTATTTAGATCTGACTCGGTGGCAAACCTTTATTCCCTCAAAGACTGTCCAGTGTTACTCTATGCTCTACTCTGTTGCTTTTTCTGTCTCCTGTCTATGTACATGTAGATGCTGCTCACTTTCAGACCAATCATTTCCCCCACATAAGCAACGGAGGGGAAGAATCTCCATAGTGCATTATTAAAGGAAGTCCTTTTTCCTTTGCTTGCATCATGAGGGACTGTATGTGAGTGGGTGTATGCGGTCGGAAAAACACACATGTAGATTGATCAGTGAGGGTTAGATGTACACAGCAGGTGCGCCGGGGTGGCGGGAAAGCTCTGCTTGGGTTTTAATGCACAGTCGTTAGGGCTGAAACTCCATAAATCATCAGCCAGTGGTGCATGTTTTATTTTATTTATTTTTTTTCTGTGTGATATGGACAAAGCAACAGGTTTCAGTTTGAATCCTTGAACTGTTTGCAGGAGTCTGGCAAGTGTTGTATAGATCAGCTCAATGTCTTGTCTCCATCTAATGTGTCCAGATGGGCAAATAGGGTTTATTTCCTTCTGAAGAAGCAAGACATGTTTATTTGCTGAAAGTGTGTTGACCTCGTCACATGAGTTGTGTGCGACAGGAACAGATCTGTTCTCTTACAACCTGACAGCTGCGCTCCAATGAACAATGTCTGCGAGTCTGTCTCTTTCTCTGTCATTTTTAGTTGTGTTTGCTAAGTCAAGCTTCACTTTTACTACATAGGGTTTGATATTTATTTAAAAATGGCCATCTGTCAGAGCCTTAGATTTGTGGGCAGCGTTCTGGCATTTGGTTAAAAGTGCTTGGGGCATTCAGAGTTTGGGTCCTGACTTTCCTAATCCTTATCTTATCACAATAAAGAAAGATTTAGCTTTGACTGACCCTTGATTCGCAGCAGGGATGTGTGGAAGGAGGAATTGCAGGATTTTTTTTCTCTTTCTTTTTTTCACTCATGTGATATAACGAGTGCCGATGACAGTGCTGGATGTCAGCAAGTTTTGCTGTGTGTTCGCTGTGGTTGTCATGATGCCAGATTCTGCTATAGAGCGGCGATGTTCCCTCCTGCACAACTCTCATCTGTCTATCACAAAATAAAATACTTACAAATGTAGCCCCACTGGCAGTTGAGATATCAGTTTCAACATTTATTAGACTTTAAAAAAAAAAAACTTCTAATTTAAGTGAACTTCACATAATCTTCAATACAATCTTCACATAAACCCATTATAATAAATGTCATATCTACCTGTGCCCTTCTGCAGCAATATACATAAATTGAAATTGAAGTTATCAAACACTAAGTTCTAAATTAAATATAGATGAATCCTTAAAGCTATAAAAATGATTGATTTCCTCTTTTTTTCTTTCTCTCTCTCTCTTTTTTCTTTTTTATTCTTTGATTAACAGACATCACAGCAGCTAGGTTATTAGGTTGTTTGGCTGCTATTTCTTTAAGAGCTGCCGCTGCTCAACGTGACGAGGATCTGACACGCATAGTATTTTCTCTCAAATCTCTTTACCTTTTCTGACCCAATTCAGGTCTTTAAGGCTACGTTTACACGACAATGATGTAGTCAAAAACGGAAAAGTTTTTCCTTTGCATTTTTAAAAAGTTTCACGTATACACGATAACGTTTTCAAAACGATTCGCGTTTACACATATCCTCAAAAACGGCCAAAAACGCTGTATTACGTATGCCAGGCCAGTAGTTGGTGCTGTCACCTTTTTAGTAAACAGTACCTCTAGGGAAGTGACGATTATATGTTGTATATGATGCGTCTCCGCTGTTGGTTATAATATTGGTGAAGTAAATCCACACTTTGCTAAAAGAAGCATTAGCAAACTCTTGAGCAGCAACAACCGTACCATGTACTCCGCCATTGTTGTGTATGTTTGTTCGCGCTTGCCTTTAAAATCGACACGTACTGCGCATGTCTACATACCTAACACGTACTACGCACGCGCATAACGTCGCCATTTTCAAAGATTCCTGTATTGGGTGTTTACACGGAAACAATAACGGTGGCGTTTTCAAAAACTTGCACTTTGAAACCTGTTTTCAAAAATATGCGTTTTCAGTCCCCAAAACGCCGTTGTCGTGTAAACGAACAGGCAAAACGCATAAAAAGTTCTCTGTTTTTGGCTGAAAACGTTGTCGTGTAAATGGTCCCAAAGTCTCTACTAATGAAGTTGAATTGGGTGTGTTAGATGAGTGAGACAGTGCTGGGCTGCTCCAGGACAGTTTTAAAAACCATTTCAGAGACATGTTCATAATGTAACTCATATAAAATATATTACATGCATGCACAGTTTTAAGGCAGCTTTAATCGCCCTTTTGGTAACTTCATGACTTAACTGACCACGACATTGAATGCACGATGTTTAATTTGAGCTTTGATATGAAATAATACAGGCTACAGTGCGCGCCGGCGTCTTTGTGCATGCAATTGAAGAGCACGCGCTCCGAGCACAGTATTGTTTCCGCGCTGTTTGTCTCTCGCCTGGCGCTGAAGTGAAGTTGGAGTGCGCATCTGAAATGTCTCCCATTTGATGTGGTCGTAAAGACATTCTGCGACTGAATAAATGCACTTCTTCTCAAGAAAAAAAGAGACAGAAGCAGCAGTTGTGAGTGGGGTGGCAATTAATTAGATTAAAAATTTTAATCGACTGACAACCCTAATATATATATATATAAAATGCCCCTTTTAGACTTGCACTCTATTCATTTACTAACTGCTTGTTTTCTTTAAAAAAAACTAACACTAGCTTCTCTAATCTTTTTGTATTCTATCTATTTGTTTTCTTTGTATTTATTATACAATTTAAAAAAAGCAAAAAAGTCCTCTAACACTAGCTTGCTCTATTATTTTTCTATTCTATCTGTTTTCGTTTTATTTATTATATAATTTAAAAAAACCTTGCTACGTTTACTGCATTAAGCTAACTGAGATTTGTTATAGCACTTGCATATCATTGCTCTTTTGTTGATTTTGAATGCTTCCATTGTCCTCATTTGTAAGTCGCTTTGGATAAAAGATTCTGCTAAATGACTAAATGTAAATGTAAATATATATATTAGGGTTGTCAGTCGATTAAAATATTTAATCTAATTAATTACATGATGTGCCGATTGATTATTATAATTAATCACAAATTACATTTGGCTGTGAAAATTCCCCCAAAAGATTATTTAAAGCTATTTTGTGTTAAATGAGAAAGTATTAAGTAGACATTACAAATAGTAGCTTTAGAAAGAAATATTTTATTTGATTCAATATAAAATGTATTACACACAAACGTTTAGGCTACAATGGCCTAACATAAACTATGGAACATAAGAGAAGATAATTCGAGAAACTTTTTTTTTTCGTTCATGGAAGTCATTGGTAACCAAAAGAGTCTTCAAAATACCTTTTTTAATGTTCCACAAAATAAAGTAAGTAATTCAGGTTTGAGTAAATGATGTTTGAGTAAATTATGACATAATTTACATTTTTGGGTGAACTATCCTTTTAATTTTTTTTACCCTTTTTTAATGAAATAATACTCTGAATAAGAAACTAAAACTGCCAGCAGGTGGCGGTAAAAGTCTTTATGAGTCATTCATTCATTCGATTCGTTCAAACGGCTGAATCATTCAGGAATTCAGTAAACGGCTCACTTTATGAATGAGCCTTTGATTCATTGATTCATCTGATTCGTTCAAAATGCGGATTTTATTCAGAAACTAAACACCGCTTTGTTGCTCGGAGATGCACAACAATTCTGCTGTGGCATTATAGGTAATATTTTTGTCAGCAAAACTGAGCAAAAACAGACAATATTGTGTTTAAAATATAACACAATATTAACTTCTTATTTACTGAACTGCTTACTGAAAATATCTGAATCACGTTATTTTTTCATAACTAACTAATTAAGTTAATGCGTAAAACTGACAGCCATTCATTCATTCATTTATTCATTCATTCACTTGCGTGCCATTCCAACCCAAAACTTTCTTACACATAAAACAATAAGCATTCATCTAGAAAGAAAGCATTTTGTAAACCCAACACCACTGTTTCAAAGAAACTGACACTCATCTATTCAAGTGAACTATTTCACATTGTGTCTGTAGTGTTTTGGAAAAATGTATTTGAATTTTATTAGGTCATAAATTGATGTCAGTTGCCCACATATCCAAGTGCCCATCCCAGGACAGCATCCTAATAGTGCCACTGCTTGAGGTGTTTTTCTTTTTTTTTTTTTTTTAGAGTCAGTGCACATGATACTTTAGCAGCTACATAGCAATACCCTGCTAACCACCCACAACAGCCTGAACCTCATTCTTCTGTCTTGCAGGATCTCAAGGGCTGCGTCTGTGCTGCTGTCGGATCCTTGCTTCCAGCTTCGCTCCATCCAGTACCTGCTCGGAGAAGGAGATGCCAGAGCCGCCAGCGCCGACCGCAAACACTTCTCTCTGCACACATGTAAGCCTGGACTAAACACGTGCCCTCTTACCCATCCTGCTGCATAATCAGCGGGATGTTAAATTTAGTCGCCATTGTATGTGTCACATTGAATTCTTTGATGCACAACGTTTTATGGTCTAAATATACTCCTATTTTTTAGAATAACCTTCCATATCCAGTGACGTGAAAGTGATTGTGTTCTTAAAATATCTACTGCTCCACCAATTCACTCAGCTCTGATTTAGAACACTAAGATCAAATCCATGCACTGATTGAGATGTGTTATAATTATAATCTGCTATAATGGCCTCTACATACAGTAAATGATATATCTCCTCTTAGCAGGTGAAATTTAAATGAACAATAAAAAAAA